ACTTAATCAGGTTGATTGTGGCAGCTGAAAGCCTGAATTAAGCAGTGAAATGAAATTTTTTGGGGTGCTTTTACTTTTTAAACATGGATAAAATCTGGGTTTTAACTGTTTAATGAACAAATGTGAACAGCCCTGAATAATTAAATAAAACCAGTTATTTTCTTGAGAAAAACCTTTTTGTTATAGCCATAGATTAAAAAATTCTTTTTTATTATTCTAATGTCTCCCACAGCTTTCTGTGTGTGTGTGTGTGTGTGTGTGTGTGTGTGTGTGTGTACCCCGCTGTGGGTATCTCCATTTATGCTGAAATGCCTTCTTGTGTGTTTTCCTGTCAGATACCCCCTCACCAACTACACATTCGGTACCAAGGAGCCACTGTATGAGAAGGACAGCTCGGTGGCAGCCCGGTTCCAGCGGATGCGGGAAGAGTTTGATAAGATGGGGATGCGGAGGACAGTGGAGGGTGTCCTCATTGTCCATGAACACAGACTGCCTCATGTTTTACTCCTGCAGCTGGGCACAACTTTCTTTAAACTGTGAGTGTCTGATGTTCAGAGCTCTACTGTGTGAACAAACTGAGGTAGTTTTTCCTGCACGGGTGCCTCACAGTTTGCTTCTCTGCTGCAGGCCTGGTGGAGAGTTGAACCCTGGGGAAGATGAGGTGGAGGGTCTGAAGCGCCTGATGACCGAGGTAGCTACCAAACTTTGAGCTTAGTGTCATTGTGCCGGCTGTTTTGATTCTGTGTGCATTAACTTCAAATTTGTTGTTAGATCCTTGGACGGCAGGATGGTGTGAAGCAGGACTGGGTGATCGATGATTGTATTGGTAACTGGTGGCGTCCCAACTTTGAGCCTCCACAGGTCAGTACAAAGAAGATGATCAGAAGGATATTTATGATACTTTAACTAGGGATGCATCAAGCCAACCTTTTCCAGATCTGATCCGATACAGATACCTTGGCTTCAGGTATTAGCCTATACTGAGTACAGAGCCATGTAATTCTTACTGTGAGGAAGAAACTTGGAATAAACATTAGGCTCAATTTAAACACTGCTCTACATCCAAGAATATACATACAGTTGTCAGAAGTTTGCAGTGGTACTGCTACACTGTGCAAAGTGGATGAAATGATGAAGAAAGAGGACCACCTCCAAATTCTTCAACTTCACTGCATATCAACAGATGTATGCATTACAATCACTCCACCCTGGAAGAAGGACAGTTCAACAGAATGACTGAAATTAATATTAGATTCATTTTTATATCAGTCATGTTGGATATTGTCACATCTACATCTTGATGTGAACTAATCTGAAGTTTTTGCCCTGCAGTATCCCTATATTCCAGCTCACATCACTAAACCTAAAGAGCATAAGAAGCTGTTCCTGGTCCAGTTGCAGGAAAAAGGTCAGTGTATCTCAAAATTTCTTTGATGCTTAATTAAAATAAGTAAAGACTTAGATGAGTCTCTTTGGTTGTTTCTGAAATCTGTGTTTGATGTTTGTACAGCACTGTTTGCTGTGCCCAAAAACTATAAACTGGTGGCTGCACCGTTGTTTGAACTGTATGACAACGCTCCTGGATATGGACCGATCATTTCCAGTCTACCACAGCTGCTGAGCAGGTAATGTTCAAAACTTTTGCATGCGTTTGGACAGAAAATGGTAGAACTGCAATGTTTTCGAGTGATGCAGGGATTCCTCAGAGCAGAGGGATGCGCTGTGAAATTACATAGCAGGGTTTCTTTCTGGTCGCTGGCAGTGTGCACAAAGTTTGCACTCCGATCAGAGACATTATCAACACAACAGGTGATAAAACATATAACAGCAAAATGGAAGACTTTTCCTGCAAATTAGACAAGAGATTGATGCTGCAGAAGATCATTATGTATTTGAATTCTTGAGGTAATATATTTATTTTACCAATCCGTGCGCTCTAACGGCTGCATTTTTCTTTATATAACATTGTCTTCCACGCAAAGTGATGTCACATCTGTTTGTGCAAGCTGTGCACAAACAGATGTGACATCAGTGTGATGTGCATATGTCAATTTTTGTAACCTTGCATGTTTGCTATGGGGTGGTTGAAGAGATGAGTGCATGTTTGTGTTAGTTTTTACCGCTTTTGAATCGCAGAAGCTCAGATGTTGCACCAGCTTAAGAAGACTTTCTGGAGAACACTGGGAAAAGGTTTCATCTGCAGCTAAAAACACCCGTGGCCTCAGCGCCAGGATAAATGGCACGGCACTGTTTGTGTACCAAACAACCAATCGGGCCACCATAATGATCCTTTAATGTGTCAGCTGCACATTTGACCTCTCAATCTGTAAGACTTTATGTTGCTTGGTGTGTTTAGTTATGATAGTCTTCTATACCATAATAAATAAGGCTTCAAAGTGCATATAGTTTATATAACATGGTAAACGGAGCTGAATATTCTCAGTGATAAATGGCCTACAAATGTAACCCATCGATTTTCAAATCTGTGTCCCAATTAGGGATGGGTATCGTTTAGGTTTTATCCGATACCGGTGCCAAATCGGTACTTTTGAAACGGTGCCGGTGCTCAAAC